CGGCTGACTGTGAGAGCTGTTCCCTGGTCGCGGTGGTTTTAAGTACTCCTCGGAGATCTTCAGTACTCCCTGACTATGGTACCCGAGTTGACAGCTTTAGTGCTTCATCAGAAAAATACCTATCAGCTTCAGCTTTTCGCTCGACGTAGAGACATCCTATTAAACTGAGGTATTATGAGGGCTACGTACTCTTAGAGTAAGCGCTTACTAAGTGGAAGTTACTGTTTTCCACCTGGAGAAAATAGGCTCCTCCACAGTGGGGGCTCTAATGAATACAACTTGGTAGCTGTAGTACTTTGATCAGTTTCAGGTCTTAGTATTGCAGTGTGCATAGAGTGTAACACAGCACCGACCGTGGCATCGGACAGTCTTCATTTGAGGTCTTTGTCCCTTACTAGCATGTCCTTGGCAGAGGGTTTTAGCCTCTCAGAACCTGTATATTTCAATGTAAATGGAGTTGTTGTAAAGATTAGATGAGATCATGTGTGCTCAGGAAATGGTAGCTGTTAAGATGATAAATCTCCCATGTCCTCCTCAACCTTATATGTACTTAAGCCATAAGCCATCACCAGTTCTTTTTTTTTTTTTTAAGAGAAATTTTTGCTAAAGGGCATGCATGCTTTCCAGAGAGACAGACAGAAAGTAAGAAATCACTCCCCAGGGGGATGGCCACGCTGCAGAACCTTCTCCTCCATTCTCCTCTCTGAATTCTGAGCACACATGCACATGCACCTGGAATGAATTTCAAGCCTCCAGGTCTGGAACTTGAACCACAATCGACCCTGTGGGAGTCCAGTGACATAACAATTATGCCATCTGCTGGTCCCAAGTTCGTATTTTTACATGAATATCTGTGGAGGTTTTCTACAGACCAGACACAGAAGATAAGAGTACCTTTGAGCAGCATCATAGACCCCAGCCTTTGAGTATTTCCCTTTGAGAAAGATTGTTTCCATTGTCTATAGGGGGCACAGGTGTTAGAGGAACTATAAGATCTGTGTAGTTGGTAAAGAACAAAGTGGGGGATCGTTGCCATGATGAGGCTGGAAGGTAGGCGGGTGCCAGACCATGGTGAACCATGTAGGGGTGTAGAAAAGATGTTGGGTTTTAGAGTAAGAATGATCAGACCCATTGGAGCTGAGCTGTCCTATGTGATAGTTACTAGCTTCTTGTGACTATTGAGACTGGAAATGTGGCTTGTCAATTAGCAGAGTGATGAAAGAGGTTCTGAATGAGCCTTGAGGAATCCACCCTTAACTGGGCAGTAATTCATGAACCTGCAAAGGAGACAAAAGGAGCAACAGAGGGTGCAGGAAAAATCAAGATGATGTGGTATCGTGAAAGTCAAGAGAAAAGAATACAACATGTATTGCTTAGTGAAGAGGATAAGTGGGAATGCATCATTAGACTAATTCATTGTTGTGTAGACATCATAGAGTGTGCTTATGCAAATACAGATGGTACAGTCTGTATACTAGGTAATATAGTGTGGCCTGTTATAATCACATGGGACCACCATAGTTAAAATGTCATTAAGGGGAACCAGCAGTTGGCGTAATGGCTATGTCACTGGACTCCCATGTAGTCGACCGCAGTTCGTGTCCCGGACCTGGTGGCTTAAAACTCACGCCGGGCGCATGTGCATGCGTGCCCAAGATCCCGAGAGGAGAATGGAGGAGAGGGGATTGCGGTGTGACCATCCCCCTTGGGGGGTGATTTCTCGCTTTCTGACTCTGTCTCTCTCTCTGTCTGTCTGGCGAGCGCACGCGCCCTATAGTGAAACCCCCCCCCCAAAAAAAAAAGTCATTAAGGGTTACAATGGTAGAAACTTTACTACTTCGAGAGGGTTACTACTTTGAGAAACTTTACACACAGGACTTCGGGAATATTTTGTATATGAGAGTCTTGTGAAACTAAATATGTGTATGTATTTCTCCATCTCTAAATTAGAATTGAGAGAAAAACAGTGTTAACAGTAAGTAGAGATTTTGAAAGAGTAAAGAGACCCCTTCAGAGGCCAGCAAGTGGCTTGGTGGTCAAGACACTGGACTCTCACTGGGTCACTGCAGTTCATGTCCCAGACCTGGCAGCTTGCTTTCTCTCTCTCTCTGGTGAGCCCACCTGTCCCATAGCAAATTAAATAATAATGAAAATAAACTAAATTCAAAAATTATTTTTTTAAAAAAGAGACCCCTTCAAACAGATATAATCAAAGATTAAGTATATATGAAACATATTCAACCTACAATTTGTGTTATTAGGATGTACTTTTTGAAGTTTCAGTGATGAACTCATGAAAGCCTATTTTCTACTGTAAATGCCTTATTTCCTCCTTCTCTTAGAGGGCGAGTAACCATGTCGGCAGCAGCTGTGGATGCAGTTAATGCTGCACCCCTGTCGGGGTCCAAAGAAATGAGTTTAGAAGAACCAAAAAAAATGACCAGAGAAGACTGGAGAAAGAAGAAGGAGCTAGAAGAACAGCGAAAACTGGGTAATGCCCCTGCAGAAGTTGATGAAGAAGGAAAGTAAGTATTTCAGTTTTGTGTGTGCTTTGTTCATTCAGAATTCAAATTCACATCTGCTTAGTTTATTAAATGCTCATCCTTTGCTTTAACAGGATGTCATCTTTACCATTTGCATCATTTTTGTTTTCATTATTTGTCTCACCAAATTGTATGCATAAAGTTTAGTAAATAAGGTCGAAAGGCTTAGAATGAACAGCAACAGTCCTTTTTCACCCTTCCTACATCCTTATCTGTTCTATAGAAGTGACTACATTTGGGACCAGCATATGGTGTAATGTTATATCACTGGACTCCCATATAGTTGACCACTGTTCAAGTCCCAGACCCAGTGGCTTCAAACTTATGCCAAGCACTTGTGCGTGCATGCCCAGAAATTATGACAAGAGAATGGAGGAAAAGGGATTGCGGCATGGTCATCCACCACCACCCCACTGGGGTGGGAGTGATTTCTTGCTTGCTTTCTTTCTGGCAAGCGTCTGCACCCTATAGCAAAAAATCTCTCTCAAAAAAAAGTGATACTTTATTTATTTATTTATTTGCCAGAGGGCATATGCAGTCACCAGAAGGGGGCAGGGAGAGAAAGCACCCCAAATGGGGTGTGGTTACCCTGCAATACTTTTTACTCCATTTCTCCATCCCATCAAGATTTTGGACATGTGTACACACACACATGCCTGGCATGTTTTTCAAGCCACCAGGGCTGAAATTCAAACCCCAGTTCAGTTATGTGGGAATGTGGTTCCCAGTGCAAAGTGCTTACCTCTGCACTACAGCGTTGACTTGGAAATACTTACTTTAAAAAATTTTTTTTAATTGTGGGACCAGCAGTTAGCGTAATGGCTGTGTCACTGGACTCCCATGTAGTCGACTGTGGTTCGCATCCCAGACCCGGTGGCTTAAAACTCACGCCAGGCGCGTGTGCGTGCGTGCCCAAGTTCCCGAGAGGAGAATGAAGGAGAAGGGATTGCGGCGTGGCCATCCCCCCTGGGGGGTGATTTCTCACTTTCTATCTCTCTGTCTCTCTCTGTCTGGTGAGCGCACGTACTCTATAGCAAAAACTTCTCAAAAAAAAAATTTTTTTTTTTAATTGCCAGAGTGTGTGTACACTGACCTGAGAGAGAAAGTACCTCACAGTGGGGCTCAGTCACACCACAGTCCCGTTCCTTTATTTCTCTGTCCCATCGGGATTTTAGACGTGCATTAACCTGTACCCAGTATGTTTTTCAAGCCACCAGGGCCAGGATTTGAACTTCTAGTAGCCATATGGCTCCCTACATAGCACTCTTAACCACTGTGCTATAGGGCAGTCCAGAAGTGATTACTTTTAAATGTTCCTATTTGTGTTTTTCTGCTTATTTTAATGTATCTACACAGTTACTTTAATGAACTGGTCTTAGACATCATGTGAAGCAAAATTTCTTGCTCTGATAGAAGACTTAGATCACTGGCATACATCTCTGTCCTTCTTCTTTGCTCCTCCCTTTTCAGTTGTATCACCGTTCCTAGTTTTTTGGTGGGAAATACAAATTTTTTTATATCTAATTGTTCTCTGTTATAGAGATAGCAATCATAGTCTCTCCCCATTGCAATATTTCTGTTCTTAGGTTCTGTATAAGCTATCTCTCTAACTGTTATTTTCAAGCATTATTCTTTAAAAATGTTTTTTTAATTTTATTACAGGGACATCAACCCTCATATTCCTCAGTATATCTCTTCAGTGCCGTGGTATATTGATCCATCAAAAAGACCTACTCTGAAGCACCAGAGACCACAACCAGAAAAACAAAAGCAGTTCAGCTCATCTGGAGAGTGGTACAAGAGGGGTGTAAAAGAGGTAGGCAACCCGTGTGTAGCCGCATGAGGATAGAGATTTTCTTTTAAGACCATAACGTAAGAATTTTTAATGCAATACTATATAAAGTAGAAACCTATCATACCTTATCTGGTACTGAAGTACATACTACTTTTGCCCTTGTATTTTCTCATATAAATAAAATAATATTGCTCAACTCCTTAAATTTTCATTTTTAAATGTGTAGAGACTCTAGCTGGTTTTCCTCTTAACAAATAAATCATTTCACTAGACAAAACAGTAATGAGGACCAAAGTTATTTCTTTCCTGTTCAGATAAACAAACTATTTTCTTTATTTTTCTTTATCCATTTGCAGAATTCTGTAACTACTAAGTACAGGAAAGGAGCATGTGAAAATTGTGGGGCTATGACACACAAAAAGAAAGACTGCTTTGAGGTAACTTCACTTTTGAGAATTTTGGAAACTGTATTTCTCTTTTCCTTGTCAGGGAGCTTCTGTCTTCTTTTCTTTCTTCTTTTTTCTTTTTTTCTTTTTACTTTTATTGTCACTCTCCAGAAAAAGGGAAAGATTAAAGCACCCTCACACACAGCAGTGGGGTTTGGTCATTTTTCTTGCACTTCTCTATCCCATCAGGATTTGGGGCATGCACATACATGCACCCAGTGTGTATTTCAAGCCATTGGGTCCACGGTTCGAACTGTGATTGGCCATGTGGGATCTGACTCCCAGTGCACAGCATTTTAACTGCTGTACTACAGGATGGCCCAGGGAGCTTCTGACTTCCTAAAATTTCCTATATTTAAGTATAAGGTAAATAAAAATTCATACGAAGTGGTTCAGGACCACCAAAATTTTCTGCTGGATACCTACTAATCAAATATCCCATAAAGTCCTATAGTAGTTTCACACTTACTCTAAAGATGATTTTTCTCTGGGCTACCAGTACTTAGGAAAAGATTCATCCTACTGTGTTTTCCAGAGACCCAGGAGAGTTGGAGCCAAATTTACAGGTACTAATATAGCTCCAGATGAACATGTGCAGCCTCAGCTGATGTTTGACTATGATGGGAAGAGGGACCGATGGAATGGCTACAATCCAGAAGAACACATGAAGATCGTAGAAGAATATGCCAAAGTTGATTTGGTGAGCATGATTTCTTGCTTTCCTGCTACCTTTAAATGATGTACAGTTTGCCCTGTTCCTTTTTTTTTTTTTTTTTTTTTTGGGGGGGGGGGGGGGGGTTTTTTTTTATATGGTGTATTTGGAGGTTTTTTGCTATAAGGTGCATATATGCTTGTTGGAAAGACAGAGACAGACAGAAGGTGAGAAATCACCCTCCCAGGGGGGATATCCACACCACAATCCCTTCATCTCCACTCTCCTCTCAGGATCTTGGCCACGCACACACACACACCCAGTGTGAGTTTAAGCCACTGGGTGCAGAACTCGAATTGTGGTCGGCTACATGGGAGTCCAGTGACATAGCCATTATGCCAACTGCTGGTCCCCAGTTTGCCCTGTTTGTAATTTAGCAACTGTCTTTTGAGTCTTGAAGCACTTTACAAATGATAGTATATTTATAGTAGCAGGCCTGACTGAATATGAAAATCAGCAGTGTGCCAGTCTTATTTAGCAGCAGTTCCTTCTTTGATTCTAGTTTTGTTCTTTGTTCCATGGCTTAGGTAGCAGATGTAGGAAACCTGAAAACAGGTTATTATCCAAAGCTTTTGACTTTCTGAGATTCTAAACCTTTGATCTCCAGGCTGTGACTTACTCATGAGCCTATGGTTACCTCACTTAGCATTTGGGGATAGCAGAAGGGGGGAGTAGATCATTTGTTTAGAAAATTTAAGTTTATTTACTTCAACCTCAATTTTTCCTGATGTTATTTACCTTGTTATCCTCATTCCTTCAAAAGTATAGTCACACTGCCTTTTTTAAAAATTAAAAGTAATATTTTAATATATAAGATTTTATACCAAAACATTGTAATATATAATAATTTTGGGTCTGTCTGGCAGCAGTCAGTCACTGGAGTTATGTGGCAGCTGTCCCCCTTTTTTTTTTTTTCCCTTTAGAAGATGGGTCTGCTTGCTGGGGCAGGGGCTGGTGGGAGGAGATGGCATCCTCCCCCAGTGGGAGTACAGTAGGCCACAGTGCCTTCTCTTGCATCTCTCCTTTTTTAATTAAAAAAAAAAAAAAAAAGATTTATTTCCATTTGTTGTTACTATCTTTAATTTGATCAGACAGAGAGAGAAAGGGAAAGTGGGAAAGCAAGCCACAGGTCTGGGACTTGAGCCACAGTTGGCCTGATGGGAATCCAGTGCCTTTAACCACCACGCCACATACTGGCCCACACCTCTCCTTTTTTTCAGGATTTTGGGCATGCATGCACATGAGCCTGGTGTGTCTCTCAACCCGCACAGTCAGCCATGTAGTATCCAGCTACCTCAAGCACAAGGCCACAGAGCCAGCCTGGCGGTTGTTCCTTTTTGGCAGGGCTTGTTCCCTTCAGTTTACCACTGGTACCATCTGGCTCAGTTTGTATTAATGCCTGGTTCAGTCAAGAGTTTGTAACTCCTGTTTTTATAGAATATTAAGTCTACGAGTAAGAAGAGTCTCAAAGAGATTCCTTGTTCAGTGACTTTTTCTGAAAACAATAAAATTATTCACTTTAAATGTACAAAAATTAAGTGGTTATTGGAATGTTTAAGTAATACTTAAATGTTTCTTTTCTTTTAGGCAAAAAGAACATTAAAAGCCCAGAAACTCCAAGAAGAATTAGCCTCAGGAAAATTAGTGGAACAGGCTGTAAGTAATAAAAATGATCAATGGAAAAAAAATTTAACTTTTAAAGAATTGAAAATTCTTTAAGAAACAATTTATATCTTTCTATTGAAAGGAAAAAGTAAAACTGCATTTTTTATGTAGTTCATGGAACTATAATCTGGTACAGTTATCATGGGAAAGATATTGTTATGAATACACACACACATACACCTTTTTGGAGTTAAATTAGTAGATCCAGCCCTCCCAAAGAATTTTCCAGATTTCAGAAAAATTATGCACGAAGATGTTCACTGCAGCATTTTTTAATAGTAGTAAGAAACTAAAACAGCTTAAAAGTCCAGGAAGAGGGAATTGTTTGAGTAAGCTATACATGCATCCATCTGTATAGTAGGATGTTATATAGCTCTTAAAGTGCCATTTTTTCGAGACTTTGTTAGCAATACTCGATAATACTTGCATTTTAATGATACATGAAAACATGTCAATATCACATAGAAAAAGGATCAGAATACAGTTTTTATTTAACGTAGAATTAATGGTTTTTTCTCTTTTTAAATTTTTTAGAGTTGCTTTTGGGCATATGTACTTGCTGTAGAGAAAGAGAGGGGAAGTAAGAAAACACTGTGCCCTTCCCCCCTCAGGGGGATGACCATGCCACAATCACTTCTCTCAGAAAGTTAGGCATGTTTTTCAAGTCAACTAGGTCTGGGATTCCGTCTGCACAGTCAGCCATGTGGGATCCTCCACCTTGACCACTCTGGTACCTGCTGGCCCAGTGACTTTTTTTTTTTAAATTTTTTTTTCTTATGTATTTTCCACATTTCCCATAATGAATATGTATTAGTTTTATAGCTGGGCAAAATTTTTCATATGAATGAAAGGTGTATTGTAGCCAGTTTTTTTTTTCTTTTTTTTCCTAAGAATTATTTAACTGTATTTATATTATTATTATTTAATTTGCTATAGGGCATGTGTGCTCACCAGTGAGAAAAAGAAAGTGAGAAAGTAGGCTACCCGTCTGAGACTCGAACCATGGTCAGCTATGTGTGAGTCCAGCACCTCAACCCCCATGCCACCTCCTGGCCGAACATTTAGAGTTTTTTAGTTAAGATTTCTAAAAGAGACTCTTAGCATGGATGAGTTACAAAGCAAACAATTCAAGAAGTAATTATCAAATAAACAGTTACTGAGTCATCCTATTAGGTAATTAGGACTGAAGTTACCAAATGGGTATTTAAAACACAGCTCTATTCCTGGTTTGCAGTGTGTTTTTTGAGCCTCAGTTTATCACGTCTAAATAGAGATGATGTAGCACCTATCCCCAGAAGCCTTAATACACTTGGTATTTGGTAGCTATTATTGTTATTTGTTATTTACCAACTCTAGAAAAAGGTAAAGGTCTTACTCTTCTTGTTCTAATTAACATATCCTTTGTTGTTTGTGGTAAACATAATATGTTTCTCCAGTAAAGTTACTTACATACATGTCAGGAACTGACGATTTTTGGCCACTTGGATGCTTGGTTATTAAGATAAATAGATAAATTGCACGTAGTAGAGAAATCTCTGCTATGGAGACCTAGTGGTTACTATGGCAGTATAAATGTTCTTTGTTAAATTAGTAATTAGTGGGAACTCTAAATAAGTTATTTGAAAGAAATAGATTTTTTTTCTTAGTTTTACTGTAGGGCCTGTATGCTTGCCTAAGAGAGCGAAGGAGAGAAATCATCCCCCAGGGGGTGACCATGCTGTAGTCTCTTTTTCCTCCACTTTCCTCTTGGGATTTTGGCTTCATATCCACAAGCACCTGGCATATTTTTCAAGCTGCCAGGTCCAGGACTTGAACCATGAAGTCAGTGATATGGGATCTAGCCTCCTTAACCTTCATGCCACAGCTGATCCCCAGAAAGTAAAGTAAAAGTAAAACTATAAAAATGTAAAAATAAAAAAATAAGAAGAAGAAGAAGAAAGATCTGCCAATGGCATGGTAGTCATATAACCAGTCATTTTTTGTTCATTTGAATTTTTTCCCAATGTTTTGATATTATACAGAAAACTGCAAATCATATCATGTACATACAATTTTTTTTTCTTCGCCAGAGGGCACCTGTGCTTGCTGGAGAGAAACAGAAAGAGAAAAAGCAAGAAAGCACTCTCTATGGGTCATGGTCATACCACAATCCTTTCTCCTCCATTTCCCCCTCCTTTTAAGATTTTGGGCACACATGCACATATGCCTGGTATGCCATGAACTCAAACCATGCAGTTGGCCATGCAGGATCTAGTTCACATAACCAGCAGGCCATGGGCCAGCCCCGTACGTCTTTAGATAATTTTCTTAGGACAGGTTCCTCGAACTATACTTACACACACACACACACACACACACACACACACACACTTATGCATTTACCAGGGAGAGACAGAGAAAGACAAAGTGAGAAAGCACCCCTATGGGGAATAGTCATGCCATAGTCTCTTCTACTTAATCTCTCCTGTCAAGATTTTGGGCATACATGTACACCTGTGTTGCTGTTGTAGTGACTATGTATATTTCTAATTTTGATGACATATCAATTACCATTACAAAAGTTACACAGATTTATGGTCTCATCAATATACTGCATTTACACACACCTGTTTTCACATCCCTAATCACATCACTAGTTTTCCAAAGTATTTTTAATCTTTAAAGCCTTTTTAATAAGACATAATAAAGTACTGACTGGCTTATTGTAGGCATCCAATGGCATTAAAAAGTATCCTGGCCTTAATGAAGAAAAGAGTGTCTTTGTGATAAGAATTTTAGATTCTGCTTAAGTCTTCATTTGTGTCATCTAAGTATATTTTTCTTCATTTTCCAAACTTACAAAGGCTGTTTTGACTCTGAAGATACTTACTACACCATCCTAGCAACATTTAATTTTTGGACTTAATAGAAAACTAGTGAGTTTTAATGAACATAGTATGTCTGAAGACTGTCATTTGGAAGTTAGTATTTATTGAGTACTTCGGTCATCTTAATTTTCCTGTTACCATTATTTGACTTTATATATATAAAATCCCATATCAGTGAAAATTTAGTATAGAAATTTTCTGACTTTGTAGACAGAATTCACTGTTCTCGATGTCATACTTATATTCAGAACTGTGCTTATTACAGGAGAGAAATTTGAGAACTTGTTCAGTTAGAATTGAGTTATATTGTTTTAACAGTGTTAAATAATCAGTAGAGTAAGTGAAATAAAGTTACAAATTCTTTTCCCTCTTTCATGATCCAGAATTCTCCAAAACATCAGTGGGGAGAAGAGGAACCAAATTCTCAGACGGTAAAAAATATTGGCCCTGTTTATATTAAATTTTTTGATTTCTGGTAGCTAATAATAAATAGATATTTAGCTTTTAAAGAACTTTTACATAGCTTTTATAGAATACAAAGTGAGTAAGGGTTTGTTCAAGGGAAAGTAAGGGAAAATAGAACTAGACACTAGTTTTTTTTCCTCACTATTTCTTTTTCTCTCTTTCCAGGAAAAAGATCATAATAGTGAAGATGAGGATGAAGATAAATATGCAGATGATATTGACATGCCTGGACAGAATTTTGACTCTAAGAGAAGAATTACAGTCCGGAATCTCAGGATTCGAGAAGATATTGCAAAGGTAAGTTTTGCCAAGTTAACATACACATTTTAAAAATATTTCTTCCCAACCTAGATTTTACTAATCACATATGATAATAATGGGTAGTAGTAAGCAGAGTCATTCCAAAATAAGGTATCATTCTATTTTTTTTTAAGAATTACTTTATATAACTTTATTTGCTTATTTTTAAAAAATTTGACCAGAGAGGGACAGACTGAGAATGAGAGAGAGGGAGGGAAAGTGAGAAAGCAAGCTGCCAAGTCTGGGACTCGAACTATGATCGGCCCTGTGGAGTCCAGTGCCCTTAACCACCATGCCACCTGCTGGCCCCAGTATCATTCTATTTTTATCTCTTCACTTGTACCTAGGAAGTGTACACACATATTCTCTTGATAAGGACTCCGGTTTGTCTGCTGAAATCTTTGTTCTAAGTAGATACTAATTCATTCTATAAACATTTTTTTCTTGTAGTATTTAAGGAATTTAGATCCAAATTCTGCCTACTATGATCCCAAAACTAGAGCAATGAGAGAGAATCCTTATGCCAATGCAGGAAAGAATCCAGATGAGTAAGTATCCAGTTAAAGTTACAGATTTCAAGATAACGGAAAGTTCATTCTTTTCTGGCCCAGCCATATATGTTCATTTTAATTCAGGTTCAATTTTATGAATCAACTTTTAAAAAATCGGTCTCTGATTTTTTTAAAAAATTTATTTATACTTACAGAGTGAGTTATGCTGGAGATAACTTCGTTAGATACACAGGAGATACCATTTCAATGGCTCAGACACAGTGTAAGTATTTGCTCTATGTCAGGTCATTTTATGTCAGCTTTTAAGAAATTGGAGATAATTGTTTTTTTGTTTGTTTTGGGGTTTTTTTTTTGGAGGTTTTTGTCATAGGGCGCGTGTGCTCGCCAGACAGACAGAGATAGATAGAGAGACAGAAAGCGAGAAATCACCCACACCCACCCCCGGGTGGATGGCCACGCCGCAATCCCTTCTCCTCCATTCTCCTCTCAGGATCTTGGGCACGCATGCACATGCACCCGGCCTGAGTTTTAAGCCACCAGGTCCAGGATGCAAACCGTGGTTAACTACATGGGAGTCCAGCGACATAGCCATTATGCTAACTGCTGTCCTAGGGATAATTGTTTAAAGTTTGTTTGCAAGAAGCATGCAATAATACGTGTAGCTGGCAACTTATTAAGATGTTTTGAATTTCTGCAGTGTTTGCTTGGGAAGCGTATGACAAGGGATCTGAAGTGCATCTGCAGGCTGACCCAACAAAACTAGAGTTGTTGTATAAGTCCTTCCAAGTCAAGAAAGAAGACTTCAAAGAACAGCAGAAAGAAAGCATTCTGGAAAAGGTAACTTTGACCAAAATGCTAAAAGAGCTTTCCTTAAAGAGAAGTTACTAATAAATAAGTGTTCATTTTACATTTGGTAAGCATTACAAAGGCTGTCCTTTTTAATCCATGAGGAATAGTCCTTTGCTTTCGTTGACTTAGTCCATTGCTATATACTTCCTATATCAGTGAGCTGTCATGGCAAAACAAGACACTCCAGAATTTAGTAGTTTAAAATAAACATTTACAACAAACACGATTCTATCCTTCAGCCCAGTAAAGGATGTTCTCTTAAAGTTTCTAAACTTGCAGATAAACTCTGTAGAGGTTCAAATGCAAATTCATGTTGTAAATATATTTAATAATGTCCAATGTCCTTCTAGTATGGTGGCCAAGAACACTTGGATGCTCCTCCAGCTGAATTGCTTTTAGCCCAGACTGAAGACTATGTGGAGTACTCAAGACACGGAACAGTCATCAAAGGGCAGGAGCGGGCTGTTGCATGCTCTAAGTACGAGGAAGATGTGAAGATCAACAATCACACAGTATGTGATAAAGTAGAACCATTTCATGACCTTGTTGGTTTAGCTCTGTATCGCAGTTTTCTATAACAACTTCATTTGTAACCATTACTTTGCTTTTATGTCAATATTTGTTTTAAGAAATTTTTCCAAAAGTAGGAAAAATGTGAAAGAATACTACCGTGTTAACATATATGCCCACCATCTAGATTCAAAAAATGTTTACATGTTGCTATATATGCTTTGTCTAGGTATTTATGTGCACAGATGCAAACTGGGGCTGTGTATGTGTGTGTTAATATGTATATTATATGTTATATGTGTATATTGTATGTTTATACATACACACACATATATAGTGATGTATTTGTAAATTTTATTGACTGAAGCATTTAGAAGTTATAGGCATCATGACATTTCAGCCATAAGCACTATTATCCCAAATCTTTTAAAATGTAAGGTTATTCTCCTGCTTAATCACATTATCATTACTACACTTCAAAAAATTGATACCGTCTTGGGGCCTCACTTCCAAAATGAAGAAGAAAAGAAGGAACAATGGCTGTGCCAAAAAGGGCCATGGCCACATGCAGCCTATTTGCTACATAAACTGTGCCTGATGTGTGCCCAAGGATCAGGTTATTAAGAAATTCGTGATCCGAAACATAATAGAAGCTGCAGTTGTCAGGGACAACTCCAAAGCAAGTGTCTTCAATACCTGTGTGCTCCCCAAACTGTATGTGAGGCTACATTACTGTGTGAGTTGCGCCATTCATAGTAAGGTAGTCAGGAACCAATCTTGTGAAGCTTAGAAGGACCAAACACCCCCACCCCAATTTAGACCTGTGGGTGCTGGCCCTTGCCCTCCACCTAAGTCCTTCTAAGGAGTTGAGTCTCTAAGGGCTGAAGAACTGTCCTCTGGGAAAATAACTTATGAAAAAAAATGGTTTTCTTGGAGAGGTTTTTGCTATAGAGCGTGTGCACTTGCCAGAGAGACAGAGACAGAAAGCGAGAAATCATACCCCAGTGGGGATGGCCATGCTGCAATCTTCTCCATTCTCCTCTTGGGATCTTAGACATGCATGCACATACACCTGACATGAGTTTAAGCCACTGAGTGTGGGACTTGAACCGCAGTCAACTACATGGGAGTCCAACGAAATAGCCATTACACCATCTGCTGGTCCCAAGAAAAAATTTTTCAGTCAGAATCCAATTAAAGTGTATTTTGATAATTATTTGGTTATTAGAGTGTTACTCTTTTGGAGGGGGTTAGTTTTATTTTTGTTTTTGTTTTTTAGTTTTTGCTGTAAGGCACATAAACTCAACAGAGAGATTAGGGGTTGGGGGAAAGTGAGCATGAGGGAAAGTGAGAAATCACTCCGGGGGGATGGCCACACTGCAGTCCCTTTGCCACTCTCCTCTCAGGCATGCACACACACATGCCCAGCATGATTCTCAGGTTGCGTGGTCTGGGACTTGACTATTCCCTGATAATATCCGGTAACTTATTTCTCTATCCCTTATATTGACTTATAAATAAGAATTCATGTCTAAACGCTTGATTAGATATAAGATTGTTTTGTTTGGTTTTGCTTTTTAGTCTGCTATAGGGTGAGTGTGCTCACTAGAGAGCGAACAAGAAAGGGAAAATGGGAATTCATATCCCCAGTCCGAGTCCTGGACCCAGTTGCTTAAATTCACACCGGGCACCTGTGTGTGTGTGCCCAAGATCCCAAGAGCAGAAGGGATTGCAGCATGGCCATCTCCCCCTGGGGGTGATTTCTCACTTTCTGTCTCTCTGTCTCTCACTGACTTTCTGCTATAGCGCATGCGCCCTATAGCAAAAACCTTTCAAAAAATTTTTAAAAAGAAAAAGAAGACTGGCCAGTGATTGTGTATGAGTGATGTGAGCTAGGCAAACTGTATGAACTGGAAAACAAACCTTGTCTATTAAGGGTACACAAACACTGTCTAATAGGGACATCTACCCTTCAGTCACATTCAGGTACTACCAAGTAGGGATGAGGCCTAGGATTGTCTACGTTTTAATATCTCAAGAGAATTCAGATAGCCTGATCTTTTTTCATAGGCTTTTCAGAATTGACTGTTAGAACTGCAGTGTCTGGGACCAGCAGTTAGTGTAATGGCTATGTCACTGGACTCCCATGTAGTTGACCGCGGTTCGAGTTCCGAACCTGGTGGCTTAAAACTCATGCCAGGCGCGTGTGCATGCGTGCCTAAGATCCTGCAAGGAGAATGGAGGCGGAGGGATTGTGGCGTGGCTATACCCCCTGGGGGGTGATTTCTCACTTTTTGTTTCTCTGTCTGTCTGGCGAGCGCACACACCCTATAACAAAAACCTCTCCAGAAAAAAAAGAACTGCAGTGTCTTCTCATTTGAGGTAGAGCTGCCCTTCCCTGTTAGCCAGCCCTGAAATCCTCATAATTTTTCTCCCAAATTATTTTTAAAAGAGCTGTATTATTTTATATTCCTGTCAGTAGTAAATAGAAGTCCCTAATTTTAGCTTCCTTGTAATGTCCCTCTTTCTGCAGCATATCTGGGGATCTTACTGGAAAGAAGGCCGATGGGGATACAAATGCTGTCACTCTTTTTTCAAGTATTCCTATTGTACTGGAGAAGCTGGGAAAGAGGTTGTTGTAAGTAATTGCACTGTGGTTCTTAAAGGTATAAGATAACCAAAATTCTTGAGTCAAACTCCTTATAAAATATATCTTATATTTTAAATTTTAACTTTTACATGAATTCTGTGACACTTAACTCAAATGATATGTATTTTCCCATAGAATTCAGAAGAAGGTATTATAAATGATATAGCTGGAGAAGAAGGTGTGAAAAAACCTCAGACCCTCATGGAGGTTAGTCTGTAATCATTTATTCTGAATTTTTAAGTCCTGAAGAGAGAAGACTTTAAAACCCGCAGTAGAGTTTTGTTTTTCCACTACTTATGCTGTATTTCAATCCTCCCTCCCAGATGCATCAGGAAAAACTGAAAGAGGAGAAAAAGAAGAAAAAAAAGAAAAAGAAGAAGCATCGAAAGAGCAGTTCAGATAGTGATGATGAGGAAAAGAAGCATGAAAAATTGAAAAAGGTACTTTGTGAAGTCTCAGTAAAATGGCAAATAACAGTAATCTTTGTTTTTAGATATCTTAAGAAATAATCTAGTCCTATCTGCAAATTTATTTTTAAAATGAGGAAATGAGCCCAGAATCAGGGTTATTTCCCAGTTCACACTACTGAAAGTTTTATGGATATTACCTTCATCTTAGAGTATTTAAGAAATGTCACAAATGCATAAAAGCTCCATAATTTGAAAGTTCTTGGGGAAAGTCAGACTTGCATCCTCTACCAGAGGTATCAGTTGTGAGCTTGTATCAGTAAAATGAACCTTGATTCATTTTCATTAGTAAATAAAATTTCCTTAATATTGACTATAAATGTTACAGAATGTTTTGTGCTCTATGAAAGTATTCTGTGACCCAGTAGAAGAAAAAGGCTGACTCAAGACTGGCTGGTGGCGTGGTGTTTAAGGGTGCTGGACTCCCACATGGTCGACCATGGTTTGAGTCCTGGACCTGGTGGCTTGATTTTTCACTTTCCATCTCTCTTGCTCTCTCTCGCTCTGTCCCTCTCTGGTCAATTAAAAATAAATAAATAAATAAATATTTTTTAAAAAAAGAAAGAAAGAAAAGAAAAAGGCTGACTCTTAAGCTCTGTCAGGCAATCTAGGTTTTTCATGTAGCAGTTCATACTCAGTGAGGTCTTTCAGTACTTTGCCACTTTTGACCAGTAGAGATTGGATATACAGCCATGGTAATTATTTGTTCCCCTCTCACTATAGGCACTGAATGCAGAGGAGGCCCGCCTTCTTCATGTCAAAGAGATCATGCAGATTGATGAGAGGAAGAGGCCTTACAATAGCATATATGAAACCCGGGAACCCACTGAAGAGGAAATGGAGGCCTATAGGATGAAACGTCAGAGGCCAGATGACCCCATGGCTTCTTTCCTTGGACAACAGTAACTAGTCAGAGGTTTGTCCAGAATGGGCACAACTAATAGGTTCTTTTCGGCTTCTTGATGATGACTGTAGAAAAATCTTCGTCTACTTTTCTGCCATTTGGCTTTAATAGAGCTTTCAGAAGTCTCCATATGAATTCATTTCTTCCACACTGAAGGAACAAAACCAATAAGAAAAATAAAGAGGAAGTATATTAAGCGTGGATTAAGATTTTTATTTCTGATTTTGTGTTAGTGATGTGGAAAGAAGCCTTGGCTTTCTGCCTATCAAGAGTGAAATCAGATGTCTTCTAATCAGCAGTTACTGAGTCTCAAACTTTATTTCCTCAATTTTCGTGACCTTTTATTTAGTGTTAGCACAGATTTTGAAGGTAGATTGATTACTTTCTCAAAACCAGAGCAATTTTTTAAATTGCTACTAACTTTATAATTTCAATTATTTAATAATCATTTGTTTTCATCTGCATCGGAAAACCACTTGGTTATCCTGGATCTGTAGCTGAAATATTCTACCTTGGGCTTTGTGTCACTGAAAAGAAATCTGTAGAAAAACATGTAAATAAATTTATCCCCTGTGTCAATCTGTGTAGTAATAAATGTTTTTCATTTGGTTATTAGATTTTTATTAATATATTTTCTGTAACATACATCCAGAACTGAACTTGTTAGCCTTTGAATGGTTAACAGCTATTTTTTTGTCCTTGAGCCAGTATTGACTGATGAATAATATTGGGTTATCAGAAAAGTCATGATGCATTTTGTAGAAATGCAAAGAACTCATGACTTTTCCAGCTACCCAATAGGTCAGATTTACCATCCTAGCCCTAAGCCTATGTACATAAAAATCCTTTCCTTTATCATAGAAGTGGTTTGTGATCCAATCATGGATATCAAACTATATATTAGTTATTCTATACTCTTTTAAAATCTGTCATAGCCAGCAGATGCTACTTTACTAAAATTTGCAGATAGTAAAGCCTGAAGTTGAAAATTTTTCAAAGAATTGTTAAGCATGACTGGTTGAGGATATTAGTAACTGAGATTGCCATGATCATCAAGCCTCTTGTAAGAACACTGTGAAGATAAACAGAATGGGATCAGTGCAAATGAAGCAGCCTATTAAAAATCCCTGACATGAGTACATTGACTTTTATACCTTTTTTAGCTGTCAAAAATCACTTATATGATACTGCATTAAGTCAGCATCTCAGAAATAGCAGTTATACAAGAGCAACAAAGAAAAGTTCTCAAGTACTATGGATTTATATGGTCTCTAGATTCAGACTAATAGAAGTTAAAACAGCAAATGGTTACCTACTTGAAGGATGTCAAAAATTTGTTCTCATATTCCTACCTTCACACAGGATGGTTCAGCATAAAGTTTGACATTGATGTCTATTTTGTATTTTATCTTTTGTTAATAAAAGTAATGTTATTAAAAATACTTAAATGTGTTATCTTAAATATTTGTAGAAAGTTGATTGAAGTTGGCAGGGAGCCTAGATTAGCTTCTGTGAGCTTGTATTCGAAAATTTTAGCAGCCTTGGAACCAGCAGATGGCATAATGGTTACGTTGCTGGAGTCCTATGTAGGCAACAACGGGTTGAGGCCCAGACCCAGCAGCTTTTTTTTTTTTTCAGAGGTTTTTGCTGTAGGGCGCATGCGCTTGCCAGACAGACAGAGAGAGACAGAAAGTGAGAAATCACCCCCCAGGGGGGATGGCCACGCCGCAGTCCCTTCTCCTCTGTTCCCCTCTCGGGATCTTGGGCACGCACGCACATGCACCCGGCGTGAGTTTTAAGCCACCGGGTCGGGAATGTGAGCCGCGGTCAACTACATGGGAGTTTAGCGACATAGCCATTACGCTAACTGCTGGTCCCCCAGACCCAGCAGCTTTAAACTCATGCCAGGCATATGTGAGCATGGTCCTCCTCCCAGGAGGTGATTTCTCACTTTCTGTCTCTCCAGCGAGTGCATGCGCCCTACAGCAAAAATCTCTCAAAAACAAAAAGAAAATTTCGGCAGCCTTTAACTCAAATGTGACACCTAACCTTTCTGAGCCTCTTTCTTCTACAAAGCCTAATTTACTCTGATTTTAATCCTGTAATATCTAAAATAATGTCTTATTTGTTTCACTTTGGAAAAAAGTAACACCTAGGACATTACTCAGATGTAAACTGCGATTACTATCTCAATAATAAATGTTTTTCAAGTGCAGGAATCATGTGCTGTGATTTTCTCTCCCCCCGCCCCCTTCAGGTTTTTGAGGTAAGGCATATGTGCTTGCCAGAAAGAGACAGAGAGGGGGAAAATGAGAAATCAGACCCCCAGGGGAATGGCTGGGAGTGCAATCCCTTTCCATTCTCCTCTTGGGATTTGGGGCACATGGACACACATGCGCCCACCATGATTTTCAAGCTGCCAGCTCCAGAATTCAAGCCATGGTCAGCCATGTGAGAGTCTAGGACCTTAGCCACCATGCCACCTGCTGGTCTGTGTGCTGTAATTTTTATATGTTATCTCCTCCAAAGAACTTCATGAGTGGGATTTTATTCCTGTTTTACAATAGGTGGACAGACTTAACCGATTCCAAATAGCTTGCTTGATTCCCAGTAGAACCAGGACACAAAACCAGGTATCTCATTCTAAAACCTACCACTTTAGTATTTAAGGCCCTGACTTCTGGACCAGGAGGGCTGGTCTGCAGTTTCTTCCATTGACAAACCTTATCAGGCCCTCATTATTTGCTAGGTTCAGCCTTAACACTGAAAGTGATGTATTGGTCCCACATTCTTTGACACTCTCTAAATCCCACTCCAACTATGTAGAATGCTTCTAAGAAGAGTGCAAATAATAAATACTTCATTAAAAGAATTCCGGGAGAAAATACCCCCAAAATAGGAAAGAGGGCTGTTTTGTTTCTTTTTCCTCCAACAATGTTCTCTAGTTTCTACTCCTGTATTTTTCTCTAAAACCTTTCTAATATGGGTTTATTACTCTCAAATCTTGTTTAGAATATTTCTGAACAAAATTTAAATTTCTTCTAGGGTGGATTAATGATTCTTAGGAAATCTGCATGCTCTAATTCATGGGTAGGGGTGACCTGCGTGTGAAACAGGATACAAATTGTAGAAGCTCATCCTCCAGTATGAGTATCCTAGTGGAATTTCAAGCCTGTCCCATTTGCCTGAGCGTTTACTTTGGGGGCACAATGGGCTTCCTTCTCTTTTAGTAATTATGAGAGCTTTGTCATTTCCCAAGATCAAAACCTGACACTTCTAGGGCTCTGAGTATTTAAAAGTAGAACTAGAGTGACTCCCATTACTGAGATTGAGCAGTTCAATCCTTTCTCGCAAGCACAATAAAAACATGTCCAGCTCCATTGTACACAATAAAAATTGGAGAGGGCCAGCGCGCATGCTTCCTACTCAAGACAACCGGCCCACGGCCAGTTGCTACCGCGCCTGCGTACGGGGAGCCGCCTCGCCCTGTCTGCGGGCGGGAAGCAACCGGGGAACCCGGATGGAAGCCTGGCCCGGCGGAGGCAGCGGGCCTGCCCGCGCTTCTGTCTCCCGGCGCTCGGCGGTCAGGCCTCAGGAACTGCGGGTCCCGACAGCCTGGGTCTGGGCCCAGGCTGAACGGGCCTGAACCGGGCCTTTAAAAGAAGTGGGAGCATCCCCTGGGCCCGTGCCCTCCGCGTGCATTTTCACAGTTAAACCTCCCAGCCGCCGACGAGGTAAATACTGTTATTCCACTTGAGGAATGAGGCGTGGGTAGTCCCCGCCCGTATGTGTCACAGCCGAGGTTCTGGCGCCTGCCTTGGAGCGTCTGCCCCCGGCTGCATTCCCGCCAGTTCTCCTGGCCACTGACGGTAACTGGGAACCGCTATGAAGTCCCCGCCTCTCCAGGCACGCACGCCTGCCCTAACCTGCACAGGTGCTGGCCCGCTGCAGCACGCAGGCTTGTACACCTGCGCTTTGGCGTTGTTCCTGCGGTCATACATGTATGTATTTTACTCTAAATATTTCTGTTATGTACATGTTTGGTTTTGACTGACTTTTCTCGCAGTTAATGATACTTTTTCATATCTACTCCTCACACACCTTCAAGAGACTCGCTAAAGAATCATTCTTAAAATCAGTAATATCTAACAGCAGTTTGTTGTTGTGATGACACTTTAACGTTTACTTTTTTTAGGATGTCGTAATTCCTAGATGCCACAAAGGAGCAAGTGGAAATTGTGAGGTTCTAAAACAAGAAAGCCTCTGGGGTGGTAAGTCCTTTCTTGAAGATCTTGACAATTCTTGCTACTTATTTCCCCATGGGACGGGGGTGGGGGTTGAAGAAGGACATTATAAAAGGGTTTTCCTGAAAATTATTTCATTAAAAATGGGTAAATCTTAAATCAAAATATACTCAAGGGTAACATAGTTACTACCATCATGTGATAGTAATCTGGATAGAAGGAATAGACTCTTAACAGACTCTGTAACGACTTCTAATAAAACCTTTTTCCTTTATCTTCTGTGCCTTCTCAAATATACATGTAAATATACATAACAGAACATAGTAAATATACATAACAGAATACAGAACAATAAGCATTTTTATGCTGATGTCATCATTTAACTAAGAGTGATTTGAAATATAAGTGATTATAGATAAGGCTTAAAAGCAATTCTAAACTTCAATTGTCTTTATTTTTTTTTTAAGATTTATTTATTTATTTATTTATTTATTCATTCATTCACATTCCTTCATTTTAATTTGACCAGAGAGAGAGAGAGAGAGAGAGAGAGAGAGAGAAGAAAGTGAGAAAGCAAGCCACCAGGTCCAGGACTTGAACCGTGGTCGGCCACATGGGACTGTCCAGCGCCTTAACCACTACGCCACTTGCTGGTCCCTTCAGTTGTCTTTTTTGACTGGCAAACATCTTCAAAAAAAAATTTTTTTTGGGGGGGGGCCACACATGCTGGGCTATGATTTTCAAGCCACCAGGTCTAGAACCTGAGCTGTGATTGACCACATGAGAGTCCAGCACTTTTTTTTTTTTTTTGGAGAGGTTTTCGCTATAGGGCGCATGCGCTCGCCAGACAGACAGAGAGAGACATAGAGACAGAAAGCGAGAAATCACCCCCCAGGGGAGATGGTCACGCCGCAATCCCTTCTCCTCCATTCTCCTCTCGGGATCTTGGGCACGCACGCACACGCACCCGGCCCGTCCTCCAATTTTTAACAGACTTATAAGAAACAGTCATGGGAACCAGCAGTTAGTGTAATGGCTATGTCGCTGGACTCCCACGTAGTCGACCGTGGTTCGTGTCCCGGACCCGGTG